AAGGATGGAGCCTGCGAAGGAGGACCAATGCGGGGCACTGCTTGGAAGCAGTCGAGCAGCAGAGGTGGTTGCTGATGCGACCGCATGTGTGTGCGGGGCTTGAAAATGATTCACTGCACCTGCCATCGCGGTGTGGTGGAGAGGCGAAGTGGGGCGAGGCTAGGCGAGGCACATGTTCCCACATTAAATGCAAATCCAACAAGCTAAGCAGCTATATTTGATAGCCAAAATGGCAACAGAGTGGGACACGACAATGCCACGACACTCTGGCATTGGGCTGCCATTTAAGCTCCAAAAAGCATCACTCACTGAGCGAAAGCAAAGTTCGCGTGGTATCGATCACTAAAAGCCAACTAGGGGAAGAGAGGATTTGGAACAGAGCGGCAAGAGCTTGTTCATAAATATAACAAGAGTATTACAAAAGGCGCGCAATGGAGGAAGTTTTCTAGCGAAGTGAAATCTACATACGTACCAACAAAGCCAAAAACAAAATGTTTGCCAGCAGAGTGTTATTCCATATTTAGTATAGCCCCCAAAAATGTTTGTCTCAGTGCACTCGGCAGGACACAGAAAAACAGTTGCAGAAAACAGCTTTGCCAGCAGAGATGAAAATATAATTTAATTTTGTGCCGACATTTGCAGGATTTGTATCACGAGCAATGCGATTCCGTGTGCATCCTGTTTGCCAGCATTCCGAATTTCTCCGAATTCTATGTGGAGCTGGAGGGCAATAACGAGGGTGTCGAGTGCTTGCGTCTGCTCAACGAGATTATAGCAGATTTCGATGAGCTGCTGAGCGAAGAGCGTTTCCGGTGAGTCCACCTTCCAGCTTCCACTTCACCATCCCCTGCTCTTGCAATCATTTTCTGTTCCCGTAACACTTTTAGAGGTTTGTAAATTTTCCGCTTTTCCCCGTTTTGCCGCAGTTGCATTGAGAAAATCAAGAGCACGGGCGCCACTTATATGGCGGCATCCGGTCTGACGGTGAACACCTGCGACCAGGTCAACTTCAATCACGTCACTGCCATGGCCGACTATGCGCTGCAGCTGTTTGACAAGATTGAAGAGGTCAACATGCACTCCTTCAACAACTTTCGGATGCGCATAGGTGAGGCGAGTCCCTCAAGCGGGACGGGGTGGGGCGGGGCATACGGTATTTCCGCATTCGTTTTCCACTCATTCGGATTTCCTTTCCTTTGCAGGCATCAATATTGGTCCTGTGGTGGCGGGCGTCATTGGGGCCTGCAAGCCGCAGTACGACATTTGGGGCAATGCCGTGAATGTGGCCTCTCGAATGGACTCCACGGGCGTCGTGGATCACATCCAGGTGAGTCCTCAACCTGAACCTGAACCCGAACCCGATCTTGATTTAATTTCCAGCTAATCGCGGGCACTCAAGCTCAAGCAGCGCGGTTTCCCAGCCGCACTTTTATTACCAAAAGTTTCCAGATGGCTCCTAAAACTGGGGAAATCTCTGGACCAAACTTTTACCTGAAACTTTTCCGGGGATGGAGGGGGTGCTTGGTGGCTGCATGGTGGCCTCACCACGCCCGTCTAATCAATGGCAACCAGTGAAAATGGTTGACCATTTTCAGCAGAAAAGTTTTTTAGTGTCGACAACCGAAAAAGCGACAGCAGCGGACTCAACAGGCAAAAAGGCACAGATACAGATACAGCAACAGACACAGATACAGATACAGATACAGACAAATACCAACGGCGGGAGACAGGTATAGATACAGTTACAAATACAGATACAAATGCGCATTTGATTTTATTTGCTTGGCGTCAATAAAAACGACGCAAAGGCAACAGTAAAGAGTTTGCAAAGGAAATAAATTATTAAGCGTGCGACAAGCGGGTTGCCCACGGGGAGGGGTAGTGGGTGAATGGTGTTATCATGAAATATTGAGCCATCCCACCCCGTCTGCCGTTGCGTGTGAGAATAAATAAGAGCCTGCCGCAGCAGAAACAGCAGCAGCCATTGAACTTGTCAGCCGGAATTTATGTTATCGCTTGTTTTCCCCTTCTCTCTCTCGATTTTCACAGGTAACCCAGGAGACGCAGCAGATCCTAGAGGGACGAGGGTTTGAGCTCACGTGCCGTGGCAGCGTCAATGTCAAGGGCAAGGGGTCCATGATCACCTACTTCCTAAAGGGCAAGAAGCCAATCGAAATTCCCTCGGCCATCAAAGAGGAGTCGCCGGCCAAAGCAGAGGTAGAGCCACCCAAAACTCTGACACTCGTGAAAGAGGGAGGAGCGGGAATCAGCCCTCCGCAGAAGGAGCAGGAGGAGGAGCTGCCCAAAGATCAGCTGGATGAAGATGAAGACGATCTGCTGCCCTCACCAGACATCGATCTCAACTCGAACATGCAGAGCCTAACAGCGCAGCGCAGGAAGTCCCTCTGCCGGCAACACAACATCTCCTCTTCTTTCGGGACGACGGTGAGCAGCTCCACGGGCATCACGCCCAGCATCTCGAACAGCTCCAGTGTGACGACCATCGGAGCCCTGCCCACCCTCCTGCGCAACGCCAATCCGAATCTCGCGGACAACTGCTCCGAGTGTGGGGGCACCAGCAAGTCGGCGGCCACTCCCACAGCGCCACCAAGGACCCTGGTGGCGGAGCTGAGGGATGAGATAGCGAGGGACGAGAAGACCGGCCTGAAGGACTCCATTGAGAACCTGGAGATCCTGCTTAAGAACAACATCAGTCTGTCGGACCTGAGCAACAAGCAGCAGCAGAATCTCAGGGGGGAAATGCCACCACTGGGAGGCGGCACTGCCTCCGCCACCACCACTCTGAGGAAGAGGGACACCATCGTGAGCTTCAATGTGACCGAGACGCTGACCACAACAGCGACATCCTCCCAATTCCAATCCCAGTCCCAGTGCCAGTCCCAATCCCAGTCCCTGTCGCAGCAGAGGAAGCGTAGATCGGTGACCACCATTTCGGCCACTTGCAGCAGCACTACCACCACGCGGCTGCTCTCCAACGAGAGCCAGAGCTCCACCCAGACGGCGCCGGGAACCCTGGAGAGCAGTGTGCCGACTCAATCCTCGACAGAGGCCTCCCAGGACTGGCAGCCCAAGACGGCCACGCTCGAGCCCAATCGGAGTCCCATCAAAACGTCGCAGTCGATGAGTCCGATTGGTCAGCTCACGACGGAAGTCTTTGTGCTGCCCAACAGCCGCAGCATGATACTCATCAGTAGCACGGGCGGAACAGGAACGGGAGCGGGAGTGGGAGCGGGAACAGGACCAGGAACAGGCGCCAGCAGCCCCCGGGCGGGGTTTCTTCAGGATGTCAGCACGTAGGGGATGGATGGATGGGATGCCCGGCCAATCATGTAAATATGTACAAAAGCGCAGGCCCAAAACTGACAGCTAGAGATACTCGTAGAAATATGTTTTTTTTTTGTAGGTTGATTGGGATGCCACTTCAGTATTGGCCCCCCACCCACACCCCTTTTGCCACCACGATATGTATGATCTCGCATTTAATGTAGCTTTACGTGTTGTCCCTCAGTTAGTGTTTCATTCAGGCATGGCATTCAATGAAAAAGAGAGCTAAAGAGTTTTGAGCTTAGCCCGCAACGTTTCCATATCACAGACAAAAACCAAAGTACGAAAGCAGAGTGAAACTGCACTGCAACAGGGTACCAAAGAGAGTGGCACTAGGTGTTGGGATCGTTAGTTATCTTAACCGATAGGTTGTAAGCAGTAGAAGTGGAAGAGTAGGAGTCGCTAAGTAGGTGTGTAAGGCTCCCAAGTACTACATGAATGTACGGCAACCGACGGCCCTCAGAGCGCAGCTAATATCGCACCCCAGTCCCATGGGAATCGAATCCATTGGGTAAGTGTGCAGAACAAATCGAATTTAATGTTTATTATAGCGAGTATGAAACGAAAGATAAACTATTGAATAAGGTGGGAAATGCATTGCAAGCACGTTTCAGAGTCGCTTCCAACCCGATTCGTGGTCAAACGATACCGAAAGTAGCAAAGGCAAAATACGTACATAATCAGTTTGAACCTATGACCTTTAACCTATAGTAAACCGTACCATATCTCTTTTAAATTCAAATGCATTCCCCACGCAGTACATTTTTCTCGCTTTAAAGTTTATGGACAGTCCCCCCCCATCCGAGAATCGAATGGAAATATTTTCCAGCGATAACCATATCGAAAGCTAGTGTCTAACTATCTTCTATCAAATATATAGTATATATCTTTCGGGATTGTCCATGGATGCCGCTCTCTCTCTCTCTCTCTCTCTCTCTCGTCATTTAAGCGAGAACTCTGTCAATTGAAAAATCCAAACAGAATAACTACTATTTTTACTTGTTGCGCAAATGATAATTATGCAAAAACCTTATGCCCTACGATAAATGTAAATCCAAAGAGTATCAAATACGAATAACTAGAGCGTTAATTGCCGTAAAGTAAATCCAAATCGTTTTAAGTGTGCGTTAAATGTGTTTCGATGTCTGTACGTATAGTATACTATATACTATATACTATATATATATATACTATATACTATTGTATGTCTCAATGTTGCTGAAAGCATCCCTCACACACTTTAAAGTTTATGAGCAAAATACATATTTATAATATTTATGAGTAAAGTAAACCAACAAAAAATTCTCGCTGTGATTTCTATGAAAAAAACGAACGTAAGGATGCATAAATTATTTGATAAACTTATTTTTTTGTTACTTAGTTTTAACTCGAAACTCGAAAAAACGAATTCCCTCTGGGACACTTTTGACTCTAGCTCTAGCTGCAGCTCCAGCTACGAACTACATATAATTTAACTAAGTGCAAAGTATCCTACTATATAGTTTATACAGATTCAGATACAGCTATGTACTTATGTGTGCGTGCGTTGATTAGCTTTGATGTTCAGTTTAATGTTGATATATATATTACAGAGTCAGGTTAAGTCAATGTCAATGTAAATGTGTTAATAAATGCATTTGGGAAAACTAAACGAGTACATGGAAACTGTTTATTGGATCATTCATTCTATTTACAGCAAACGATTCACACCTTCCTTGCGCGCCGCCACAAGCAGTAGTAGCCCAAGAGGTGGAAGCCAAAGAAGAGACCCACCAGCGCCAGCAGATTGCGGGCGACATTATCCTCATTGAAGCTGTACTTGTCGAGGACATCCTGGCCGGTGTGGAAACAGGGCAGATCGGCACTCTCCTCAAAGCAGGCTGCCGGAAGAATGGATTTGGTGATAATGGTGACCCCAAAAAATCGAAATTAATGATTCCACTTACTGATGTTCTGCACTCCTGACCACTGGGCAATAGTCATGGTCTCGTTGGCGTACAGCATCCAGGAGAGAAACTGCGTCCACCAAAATGCCACAGGTAGTGAGCTATAAACGAGAAAGAATCCCATTAAAGTCAAGGTCACCACAGGAATGGGAATTACTTGCCTAATTTGTATAAAGATGCCTGATGTAATCATGAATATGTAATCGAGTGGCACCAGATAGGCCATTGCCAGCGGGACCGAGTTGAAGGCGGTGGAGAAGAAGCAACCGCAGGCGGTGGCCACATTCATCACGAGAACCACACAAATGGCGGTGATCCCGAAGGCATAGAAGGTCGACCTCAGACCCGTCAGCCAGTAGCAAATGGTGACAAAGAGAAACGGTTCGATTATCATACCAGGAAGCTGTTAATCCGGACAAGAAAATTAAATAATTATATGCAAAGACAGGGAATACCATTCGAAAACTCACCAATGCCAGAATATTGGCTATATAATATTGAGCCGTGGAGTACAAACCCGAGCGGGTTTCCCTCATAAATAGGGGAAATCCCTGGGGGAAGAGATTCAGCACGGAGTACATTGGATGGTAGGTGTTCTCGGATATCATGATGAACACTGCGCCTTGGACAGCCTGCACGCCCAGCTGATTCGGCACCGTAGTGCCAGCAAAGCAAGCGCCAATGATAAAGGCCATGGCAATCTTCTGGACGAAGCGCATCCACTGGATGGTCGGATCCCGGAAGAGCGTCAGCGTGGCCCTTAGCCAGACCACATGAAAGCGCTTGTACCAGGGCACGCCCCGGAAGGATTCCACCTCCGTATCGTACGGAAAATTGCCCGTCTGCGCCATGTGGATCTCCAGATTGACGAGCATGTCGCGCTGCTTGGCCGCCGAGCTGACGGCAAACTGATCGCACAGATGCTGCGCCGATCGCTGGGAGGCTTGCTCGTAGCCGGGATCCGTGGCCAGGACGCCTATGAGGAAGTCGGCTGGATTGTAGGCCTCGGGGCAGTAGTAGCCGTGATTGGCAAAGAAGCTGAGGGCGTGCTGGGGCGAGCCCGTGAAGGCCACACGGCCGTCGGCCAGGAGCATCACGTTATTGAAGTTGTCGAAAAGCTGGGAGCTCGGCTGGTGGATGGTGCACAGGATCGTGGTGCCCTTCTGGGCCAGCTCGTACAGCGTCGCCACCAGCTGCTGGGCACTGAAGGAGTCCAGGCCGGTGGTGGGCTCATCGCAGAACAGAATCACCGGATTGTTGAGTAGCTCCACGGCAAACGCCAGACGTTTGCGTTCCCCTCCGGAGAGTACCTTCTTGTCATCGCCGCTGCCTATGCGGGTCTGTGCAGCCGATAGGAGTCCAGTGCGTTCCAGCAGCTCATTGATGATGAGGCGACGTTCCTCCCTGGACACACGCCGATCCAGGCGAAGATGGGCCTTTGAAAAGAGGGAGAAGATCTCTATATATATCTCAAAAGATAATCAATCCTCGGATTGGAGCTCTCACCATAAAGTTGAGATGCTCAAGTACCGTGAGCGAACCGATGAAGAGATCATCCTGGTAGACATAGCCACTGATGCGGTGCATGAATGGCCCTATGCGCCGGCCGTTTATCAGTATGTCGCCTTGAACCACAGTACCGGCTGCAGGGCAGATTCCAACCAGATTCCACCAACCAAGATCCAAAGCAAAGGTAGATCTTATCTTATCTTATCGAAACTACTACGTACTACTACTTACCGGGCTGTCGAAAGGCAAGTGTTGACATAAGGGTTGTCTTCCCAGAACCGCTGTGAATGGGAGGGTGGTGCGGGTGATGATGAACGATAGTGAGACAAACCAGTTTGAGATCCACAAGAGATCTTGTTGCTTATCAGTAGTCATTATCATGACATACTTTACAAATATTTTGGGCCTAATCAGGCTGCTAGTTTCCGCTTGAGTGCATTGGCACTGAAGTTGGAGCCGGAGCAGCCAGTATCGATTACTTGCTCAACAATCCAATCTATGCTAATGCAACTCACCTTGAGCCCATGAGGGCCATGAGGGTGCCTGGTTGAATGGCCCCCGTAGAGTTATTGATGATCCGTTTCATGCCACGTCCAGATCCACCCACGTTGGTGTAGACACACAGATCCCGCCATACTAGGGTGGCGCCTTGCTCGGTGGGGGACCACTTGCTGTAGCTTCTGAGGGGCAGACTCCGCTCCGAGCTGTTGCGCTTCGAGAGCTTTGGGGTGCTGTCCAGGCTGGGGATCTCACTGTTGCTTGTGGCCACTGGCACCACGAGCTGCAGCTCGTGCTCCTCCGGCGGCGGTCCGCTCTCCACATGGATGAGTTTGCTATCTGAATCGGACATAATCTCTTTGGCTTTAGATAACCTTAATCCTGAGCGGGTGTTTGCGTTTCTCTCGAACCGAAGCGCGCGACAGCTGGGCATCAACTAAAGTACAACTACAGCCAGCCAGACCGAGAAGTCCACCCCAGCACTAGCACTAGCACCAGCAGCAGCAGCAGTTGGCAATGCAAATAGAGCTCCACAATCTTTAGGGTGGCCCTGACAGCAGTCAGCATTTGATCGTCTTGCAGTCCACCGCCAGCTGGCGAAGCAGCCGACTTAGGCAGCGTCTCCGATTACCATTGTCATCAGCAGCAGCAGCAACCAGTCCCGGCCAAGTCAAGCCATTTGGGAAGCCCCGCAAGCCAGAGACTGCAGTGCAGCCAAGCAGCAATCGGGAAACCGCTGGAGCCGCGGCAGGAATGCCACTACGCCACATCGGTGGGGATTGGATTCTCGTCTTTGTTTTGCTCGGCACTTTCGCACTCATCTGCCAAAAGAGAACTGACAAATTGATTCAGTAATAAATGAAAAGCTCCCTAGCAACACCTATTCCAACACCTCGTCGGATTTAATTACAGTTAAAGTCGTGTACCATTATGTACACCCAACCCTAGTCTTTTCTGTTTATCTATTGATATTTCCTAAAATGCATGTAGAATTGCCATCACGACAAGACATGCCGCGCCCCGAAAGGCCGCTGCGTAACAGAGATGTAGCCTTCAGAAGAAACCAGTATTTTAATGACATGCAAATCCAAATTTTCGGAAGGCTATATCTCAGATAAATAAGGCCAGATCGGGGCAGGACCAACTGTCCCAGGATCGGGAGGGTCCAGACTGTCGAACGGCATCAAAATCTCGACTACGAAAATGAAGCCGATTTTTGGCAAATTTAATGATGTAACCATCATGATTTTTTGCGAAAATCGTGAAAAAATGGATGTCCCTTTTTCCGATGGCAGTCGATTGGCAGGACTCTCCTGATCACGAAAAGACATGCCGCGCCTCAATCGGCTGCCGTACAGCAGAGATATAGCGTGCAGAAGAAACCAGTATTTTAATGACAAATTCAAATCTTCGGAAGGCTATATCTCAGATAAATAAGGCCAGATCGGGGCAGGACCAACTGTCTAAGGATCGGGAGGGTCCAGACTGTCGAACGGCATCAAAATCTCGACTACGAAAATGAAGCCGATTTTTGGCAAATTTAATGATGTAACCATCATGATTTTTTGCGAAAATCGTGAAAAAATGGATGTCCCTTTTTCCGATGGCAGTCGATTGGCAGGTCTCTCCTGATCACGAAAAGACATGAAACGCCCAGATCCGTCCATAAATAGTCGAGATATAGCAAAAGATAATAAGAAAAAATTAGCCATTTTGGTCGCAAGTTGAGGATTGTTGTTGCACAACAACAAAAATCGTTGGAGAAAACTAGTTTTTTATAATCTTCGATGTAGAACAATTAACAAAAACAACTGACTGCAACAAGCCAGTTTTCCTTGATTGTTTTCTCCGCTATTTGTGGCCCGATCAGTGTCATCAGTATACGATTGTGGATACGATATCTTCCTTCACAGAGCACTTATTTACCCTACGCTTTGCCACAAACCGAGGCGTATTCGAGACAGACCGAGTCCAATCCCAGCCAGACAGAAGCGCACCCCTTCAAAGAGCCGAACCAAACAAGATATCGTCATCGAGCTGGCCATCAACAACAAGGACTTTGGCTATGGCAACCGAGGAAGGAGCTACGCGGTCTAGACTCTGGATGATCCCGTTGTTGTTAGGTTTAAGGATATGTATACATACATATATAGTCAATATATTTAGATAGTAGATACAAATCTTTTCCACTTGTTTATTTATTTATCCTAGGCTAAGCTATGATGAATAAAACTATTGAAAAATAATCCTTGCTTTATCCTGTTTCGGGGAATATATCCCGATTTAAAAAAAGACGGGCACACCCAGATCGGTGCGCAAATAGCGCAGAAAACGAAATATTTTTGATTGGGGAAAATGTCCTTAGTCCTTGATAAGGACTCCATAAAATCAGGGACATTTTTACGACCACAGGAAGCCGTCGCATACCCAGATCGGCCCACAAATAGCCGAGAAAACTAAATATGTATGGTTCGGGTTGTTAGAGTCCTTGCCGAAGGATCAAGGATATTTTTCTGATCATGGCGAGCCATGGCACGCCCCAACCGGGCCACAAATAAGGGAGAAAACAAGATGTATACCTCTGGTGCAAATATCCTTGATCCTTGGTTCCTGCTAAGGACTCCATCGAATCAGGGACAATTTTCCGATCACAGGACGCCGTCGCAAGCTTAGTTCGGGCCACAAATAACGGAGAAAACAACAACAGTTGTTGTTGTCAATTGTTGTACAACAAATTTTCGTTGCTGTACAACAACAGCTTTCAAATTGCGACAGCTAAAATGAAGAAAAACGAGAGTTTGAAAACTGGGATACCAGGCGAGCAGAAATCAGCTGAAGGTCGCTGGGTTTTTTAATTTTTCTTTTAATTATATTTTTCCGTTTTTTTCATATATTCTTTGGCCGCTCAAAATGGTCCAAAGCGATAATTTCAGATCTGGGATACCAGGCCAACAGAAATCAGCAGAAGGTCGCTGTTTTCTTTTTTAATTTTAAGCAGAAACAATACAAATCAAAAATAATCATTATTTAATAAAAATAAATATATGCATATCTTGTTTTCCCCCTTATTGTGGCCCGATCTGGACGTGCCATGGCTCGCCATTATCAGAAAAATATCCTTGATCCTTCGGCAAGGACTCCAACAGCCCGAACCATACATATTTAGTTTTCTCGGCTATTTGTGGGCCGATCTGGGTAGGCGATGACTTCCTGTGATCGAAAAAATGTCCCTAATTTAATGGAGTCCTTATCAAGGATTAAAGACATATTCCCCAGTCAAAAATATTCAGTTTTCTCTGCTATTTATGAACCGATAGTTTCCCCAAAAAAAGATACAGCGAGGATGAATTTTCAATAGTTTTATTCATCATAATTTAAATAATTATGTATAAATTATAGTATAATATAAAATAAATAAATATTAGTATAAATAAATGAACAAGTGGAAAACAGTTGTATCTGTCTTAAACGTATCATATAGTAGCCCGCGTAGCCCCTCCCTTGGTTGTCATAGTCAAAGTCCTTGTGGTTGATGGCCAGATCGAAGGATGACGATAGCTTGTTTGGTTCAGCTCTTTGAAGGGGTGCGCTTCGGTGAGCTTCTGGCTGGGATACTTTGATCGGACTCCGTCTGACGGGAGGAAATCGGATACGCCTCGGCTTGTGGCAAAGCGTAGGTGAAGGAAGATACATATATTTAAAACAAAATATCCACAATTATATACTGATTCACTTACACGTCTCGAAGCTGAAGCCCAGCGTTTGATTCGGCGTCGTATGGATGAGGGGGTTGCTGACATTATTTCCAGTGGCATCAGCCAGTGGCCGCCACAGTCCAGCCAGGAGCACATCCCTAGGAACTCCCGAGAGGACGAGGACGGCGGAATCACCCGCTAATGAGGCACCGACGGAGGAATCATGTCCCGAAGATGAGCCGGAAGACCAAAAAGCTGATGCCCCAGGTAAACAATGGTGGGCAATTCGGTGACCGAGGGCTCGCAAGAGGTATTCCTGCTAAAATGATAGGAAGAGTTAAATAAAGCAACAGTATTTTAATGATATGCAAATATTCGGAAGGCCATCTCAGATAAATAAGGCCAGATCTGGGCAGGACCAACTTACCCAGGACCGCGAGGTTCCAGACTGTCGAACGGCATCAATCGTGAAAAAATGGATGTCCCTTTTTCCGATGGCAGTCGATTGGCAGGACTCTCCTGAGCCGCGCGTCAATCGGCTGCCGTACAGCAGAGATATAGCGTGCAGAAGAAACCAGTATTTTAAAGACAAATTCAAATCTTCTGAAGGCTATATCTCAGATAAATAAGGCCAGATCGGGGCAGGACCAACTGTCCCAGGATCGGGAGGGTCCAGACTGTCGAACGGCATCAAAATCTCGACTACGAAAATGAAGCCGATTTTTGGCAAATTTAATGATGTAACCATCATGATTTTTTGCGAAAATCGTGAAAAAATGGATGTCCCTTTTTCCGATGGCAGTCGATTGGCAGGACTCTCCTGATCACGAAAAGACATGCCGCGCCTCAATCGGCTGCCGTATAGCAGAGATATAGCCTGCAGAAGAAACCAGTATTTTAATGACAAGCAAATTCAAATTTTCGGAAGGTTATATCTCAGATAAATGAGGCCAGATCGAGGCAGGACCAACTGTCCCAGGATCGGGAGGGTCCAGACTGTCGAACGGCATCAAAATCTCGACTACGAAAATGAAACCGATTTTTGGCAAATTTAATGATGTAACCATCATGATTTTTTGCGAAAATCGTGATGGAATGGATGTCCTTTTTTCTGGTGCCAATCGGTTGGCAGGACTCTCCCGGTCACGACAAGGCATGCCACGCCCTGATCGGCCGCCGTATAGCTGAGATATAGCTTGCAGAAAAAACCAGTATTTGCATGATGTGCAAATCCAAAGCTTCCGAAGGCTATATCTCAGACAAATAGGGCCAGATAGTGGCAGGACCAACTGTCCCAGGATCGGGAGGGTCCAGACTGTCGAACGGCATCAAAATCTCGACTAAAAAAACGGGGCCGATTTTTGGCAAATTCAATGATGGTTACATCATGATTTTTTGCGAAAATCGTGATGGAATGGATGTCCTTTTTTCTGGTGCCAATCGGTTGGCAGGACTCTCCCGGTCACGACAAGGCATGCCACGCCCTGATCGGCCGCCGTATAGCTGAGATATAGCTTGCAGAAAAAACCAGTATTTGCATGATATGCAAATCCTTATCTTCGGAAGGCTATATCTCAGATAAATAAGGCCAGATCGGGGCAGGACCAACTGTCCCAGGATCGGGAGGGTCCAGACTGTCGAACGGCATCAAAATCTCGACTACGAAAATGAAGCCGATTTTTGGCAAATTTAATGATGT